CCGGCGGGAGCCGCTCCCGGCCCCGCGGGAGGGACGGGACGGGACGGGACGGGCGGCGGCGATGGAGGACACGCTCTGCTGCTGCGAGTACGTGGACCGGCGCGGCCGGCGCAACCACCTGGCGGCGTGCTGCTGCGACTGCGAGGAGCTGGACGACGGCTGCGACAGGTACCGGCTCCGCGATCCCCGGGGGCTGCCGACTGCGGGACAGCCTCCCGGCGGCGGCGTCCCCGCGGCGCCGCCGCCCTGAGTGCGGGGGAACCGCGCCCCGATTCCCGGCAAACTTGTCGGGAGAGAGGGAAAGGGGAGGCGGTGGGAGCGGGACGGGGCAGGGGCGGGAGCGTGGCTGTCCCGGTGCCAGTCGGCGCTGTGCTCCCCGCGCTCGCAGGTGGCTGACGTGCAAATCCCTGCCCCCGGGAGCGCTGGAGAGGATCGCCGACACCATCGCGGACCGGCTGCGCGTCCCCTGGTTCTCGGGGGCCGTGAAGATCAACGTCAGCCTCGTGCCGCCGCTCGTCCTGCTGCCCGTCTTCCTCCACGTTGCCGCCCTGCACTTCCTGCTGGGGCTCATCGTCCTGACGTCCCTGCCCGTCGTGGTGCTGTGGTATTACTACCTCACCCACCGGAGGAAGGAACGGACTCTCTTCTTCTTGAGCCTGGGGCTCTTCTCCTTGGGATATATGTACTATGTGTTTCTCCGGGAGGTGGTTCCCCGAGGCCACGTGGAGCATTCCCAAGTGGTCACTCTCACGTGCGGGTTAATTCTTATGCTTGCAGCCCTGTCTCGAGCCAAGAAGGACCCTGGCTACCTTCCGATCTCAGCAGGCAACGAGAAGGCATCGCACCAGGGCTTGCACAACAAGAGTATTAGAGGGAGCTCCAGCGGGCTCCATGGCATCTCAGGCGCTGCCAGCAGTCGTGCTGTGAATGGGGAGGCTAAAGGTTATTGCAGGATGTCAGCTGAGCAGCCAGCAGGTGTGAAAAGGGACTGGTGCACTAAATGCCAGCTGGTCAGGCCAGCTCGAGCAGGGCACTGCCGGCTTTGTGGCAGGTGTGTGAGGAGACTGGACCATCACTGTGTCTGGTAGGTTTTGCACTGTTGAGGCTCCCTGTGTTCTCTCTCTGAGTTCCCTCCTTTGCAAAGTAAGCTTCTTTTTTTACAGTCTTTGGCAAATAGAGTTGCTTTTGCTATGTGCAAGACCTTATGACACTCTTTAAACACAAAAAACTTTTGTTTACCCTTTAAAAAATAGTTAGAATAACTGTTTATTCTAAGTGGGTTGAGCTGATAGCTTACTCTTTAAACACAAAAAGCTTTGTGTTTACCCTTTAAAAAATAGAATAACTGTTTATTCTAAGTGGGTTGAGCTGATAGCTGAAAGCTTCTACAGCATACTTCAGAATTGCTTTTACTTCTCTACTGTTTTTCATCAGTTTGGGATTGTTTTTGCTGTGGGTTTTCTTGGATTTGGTTTTTTTCTTTAGACTTGGTCTGTAGAGCACGAGCAATCCTGCGGTTAAGTTGCATTAGTGCTGCAAGGGAGCCCTAAACTACCTTTTGGGTGTTCCTGTGGTGCTGGAACCAAGGGGGCAGTAGGGTGTAATGTATCTCAGCAAAGGATACTACCCCTGCTAAAAATTTGATGCAAACGGTCTGCTCCTGTTACCCTACAGGTCTATTGTCTTGTGTTTGTAACCTTTCTATATAAAGTTATAAAGCTTCTTTGAACATTTTTCAAAGTTCTTAGCCTGTGTCAACTGGAAGCACCTTGGAAATCAGGTTCTCTGACAGCTGGGGGAGGGAGAAGTAATAGAAGACAGTTTCTTTTCTTTTTTTAAGCAAAGTAATCTTTTCTTTCCTTTTGGAGGATTAACAGCTGCGTAGGGGAGCAGAACCATCAAGCTTTCATCCTTGCACTCTCCTTCTTCATGCTCACCTCTGTGTATGGGATTACCTTGACCCTGCACACCATCTGTAGGGGCCGAAGTCCGTTTGTGGCGTTGTTCTACTGCCCTGGGGCCTATTCTGACTACAGGTGAGATGTCTGTCTGGGAGAGAGCTGGCGTAGGAGCAGGCTTGCTCAGGCAGCTTAGCTCCTGTTCCTTGTTCTGCTGGTTGTCAGACCTGAACACAAAGTGTTCCCTAAAAACTCTGGAAAGCAAAGACATGTTTCTGCTTCTGCCAAGGTGTGGAGCCTGAGACTTGGAGAGAGCTTGCTATTTATTTGGAAAAAGTTGAAGGAGCTAGGATTTGAAGTACTTATTGTGTTATGTATAGACGTACTTCTAAATATGTATGCCCCCCTGATGCATGTAATGGTCTGACAGCCTGGAATCCACATGCTCTCTCTCCCTCTCATTCCTTACTGTTTATCTAGTGAACGTCCTCCAAGCTATGTGCCTAGAACATGCTCTGTCTGGCAGGGAAGGTGGTGGAAGCCATTGGACATGAGTTCTGAGACCAGCACTATCACAGATGGGCAGAGTATTGCTGTTACTCAAGGGGCCCTTCCTCTACTCCATCTCATGACCTGGAGAGTGAGAGCATCCTGGGGTCCTTAAATAAGGCCTGAGCACCGTTACAACACAAAGAGTAAAGAGCTAGGTTGTGTGACAGCAATGTGTAAGACTAGCTCTGCTAGCAGTAAAAGCTCTCATTAAGTAAACCCTGAAGCTTTAATTTTGAGAAAGCCTTTAAGGATTATCTGATGAAAGCAGCAAAGTGAGATCACTGTGGCAGATGTAGACAGGGATTTGAAAGGACAGTGATTACCAGGGAAAGTCACTTTAAAGCAGCTGCTCCACTACTAAATTGCTTCCTTCCCATCTTTTTCCCTGCTGCCAGCTCTGCTCTGTCATTCACCTGTGTATGGTACTGTGCCATTGTAACAGCTGGCATGGGATACATCCTCCTTATCCAGCTGTTGAACATCAGCTACAACGTGACTGAGAGGGAAGCTCGGCTGGCTCTGCGGGACAACACCGGGCGCAGACTGCTGGGCGGGTTAGTGATAGACACTGGCCAGTATAACAGGGGACTCCTGTGCAACTGGGGCCACTTCCTGAGCCTGGGGTCTTCTCCTCCACAGCGCTCTGCCGAGGACATCGTGTGACATCCCTCTTTCTGCAGATGGCATTGTGTCATGGCTCACTGACTTTGTTTAGCAGGGGAGCAGCCCCTCCCACCGGGACTCCTCTTCACACAACCTTGCCTCGTGGTCATTATGTGGGCTATCCCCTCACTGACAACAGCAGATATTTTCCCTGGTGGAATGGTTCTTCACATGCTGTCAGCCAGCAATAGGATGCAGAAAGCAGTAAGCCATATGTGCAGGTGGGGAGAGGAGGAGCCTGCTGCCTTTTTCCACTGTGGGAAACAGCAAGAGGAGCACAAGGTTTTGAGAACTTGAGTTTCCCTTAGATGTGAATACTGGCATCAGGAGGAACCTGCTGTTGGACTTCAGAGAATGCACTGGTTCCTGCAAAGGTTAAGGAACCTACGTGTGGCATTTTGGAATGACAGAAGAAACTGTGGATACAGATGACAGATGGACCCCTGCAGAAATCAGGCTCTTTGGCTAAAAGAGACTGTCTATGTAGTCACTGGGCAGTGCTCTCCTCTCTGGTGCATTTATTTATTTATTTTTACTATCTCTGATTCCATCCAGCTGTGTACATGCTTCTATTAAGTGCCTTTGTGAGCTGCATTCCTGTAGGACTTTGTAAGATCCCTTCACCTCTTAACCCCTAAAGTTGTTATTCCATCCCTGTCTGTCTAAATGAGTGAAAGGAGATCCCATTGTTCTTTCTGCAAGCTAGGTCTGTATTGGTTTAAAGGCTTTGCTCGTCTCCCTCAAAGTGTTTCTGCTCTGATTATGGGTTGTGACATGTGGCAGCAGGTAAATACTCCAAGTAAGGAGTTTTGAAGCAACATGTGACAGTGAACTTTGAGGGCAAAACAAGAGTGCTGTCTGTCTGGTATTACTGTAGCTTTATGGAAATTACCTTCATCCTATGTCTCTGGGAGAAGGGAATCTGTGGGAGAGTAGGAAATTCTGCTAGCAGCATGTTTGGTAGGTAGCATCTTGGTTGTATTGCTGTTAGCACAGTGATCTTGTCTCCTCTCAACCCCGTTACTGTGGAGCTGCCTGACTGTAGATCTGATTTCTCAAGCCAAGAAGCCATGGAACAGATCAACCCTACGGTACATAGGGAGAGGTGTAGGATGTGTTGGAGGTGTTTGCTTTTGGGATAGATGACCTCTACTGGCAGGTAAATGTCAAAATGTGTTCTGCAAGAGTGCCATTTTTTCCTCATCAGCCTGCAACTGTATTATGGCCTGGACTTGAGCTTCAGCCAAAATAACAAGGTTTTGGTGGCAGTGGTTTCTGGATTTCATGGGTGGGATTCTTTGTTGCTTTTTGTTTTAAACCCTTTATGTATGCTGTTGGCCCTGCAGTAATAGGAAAGGTCTGGCTGGAAGAGCTGGGGACCGTGGCACAAGAATTACAGGTTGGGCCTAAGGTGCAAAAGCGGAGATAGAGCTTTGTCCCAGCTATGGTGTTTTCAGATGTGTGCAGTATGTGTGGGTCATGTCTGCCCCTGAGTGCATGGGCATGGCAGGCAGCTGGGGGATGTTGGGCAAGAGATGCACATTCACTGTGCTGCTGTGCAGTAGCTTTGAAGAATAAATGGATGGTGCTTGGTGCCAAAAGAAAGCAAGGTCGGGGCTGTCCATTGGGATCCCTGCCATATTTTTTGTAAGTGCTCCTCATGGTATGTCCCAGTTTAAGGTAAAGACTGTGTCGCTCTTTGCACTGTTTGGTTTCCTCAAGCGGCACATTTTATAATCAGCAGGTAATTGAGGAGCAGCTGCATTTGGAATGTGGCTATACAGTTACCGAATTTCCTTTATTTCTTGCCCCTTTTCATCCAGTAAGCAGGAGGTAAAAGGACAGCTCTTTTGCTTCCTACCTCTAACCAAGCACAGTAGAAGGTTCTGACCACTTTCTTGACCCTAATGTGAGTAAAAAAGTACCCAGCTGGACTGTGCAAAGTGTTCCTTTATGACCTTCTGTTTGGAGCTTGAAGCCTGATCTTAGGAGTTCAAATTGAGACAAAGTTGCTTCCACTTGAGTTGTCTGTAAATGTTTCCATGGCACATATGTATATTGTGATGCCTGCTGAGATGATGTCAAGCTTGGCAGCCCTGGAGATAAGGATGCTGTGGGCTAGCAGGATCTTCTTAGATCTTACCCTGCTGGCACTGAGGAAGATAAAGGCAGAAGGACCTCCTGGGCTAAATGAACCCCTGCAGTGGATACAGCCAATTTGTCCGTCCCTGTGTGCTGCATGCACAGGAATTAATCATGCACCCACAGACTGAAAAACTCGGGGAACTTTTGCAGGTTTGAGATAAGTCTGATTTCCCAGAGTCCTGCTACTCCTGGCTGGCAATCATGCACCCACAGACTGAACAAACTTGCGGAGCTTTTGCAGGTTTGAGATAAGTCTGATTTCCCAGAGTCCTGCTACTCCTGGCTGGGAGAAGGCAGAGCAGATCACAGGGCGCTTCCCTGGCAGTGCTAACCCTGTGGTGCTCACTTGCTCCCACAGGCAGAGATTGGTTTCACCTTTGCAGCCTGTCTGTCACTGTAGCCTTGTCCCTTGTCTCTTAGTGAGTGGAAGGTCTCATCTGAACTGCTTACACCCAGACTCTCTCTGGTCTCTTCTCCCAGGCAGCGTGGAATTTGGAGTGCAGATTAGGAACAAAGGACCTGAGACTAATGTAACCATTCCATACCTTGGTCAAACATGCTCCAGTAGAGTGAGGGCAAAGTGCTAAAGTAAATTTCATTTTTTGCACTGTCTCCAGGGGGAACTGAAACCATTCAGGGCACTAAAGGCTTGCAAGGATGGAGTTTTTTCCTAGGAGGAAAATGCAGTGCTGGTTCCTCAGTGAATAGGAGGTTCAGGTGGCTGTAATCTGCACAGTAATGGTGCAGTTTCTTTAACGGCATGGCATTGGTTTACCTCTTCTTCCTGATAGGATTTGCTTTGTGAACGCATTGGGAGATGAGAAGCATAAAGTGATGGGATATTTAACAGGCATCTAAATGGGCGGAAGAGTTTCAATCCCTTCAGATGCATATGTGGGAACTCTCCTCTTAACATCCCTGAGAATTAGCAGGAAACCCTTGGAGGGTAATGCTTCCTTTCCAGTTATTGCAAGGGCAAACTGTTGTGATCTGGTGTGCTCAGGAACAGTTTATTCTCTGAGTAATTTCCTGCTGAGCTTGGTACTGATCATGCTGGTAGAAAAATATTAAAATCTAGGCATACAGTCAGTCCTTGGGCTCCCTGTGTTAGTTGCTGCCTAGATCCATGCTGCCTGGGGGCTGGAGCAGTGAGAGCAGCCTGCATATGTGGGTTGTGTGCAGCCTTTAGGCAAGGACCAGTGTCTCACCTGTAAAGCTGCATGCCTGGCAGTGCAGAAAACAGTACCCTACTGGCTCTTGAATGTTTTGCCTGTGTGTGAAGAGAGGACCTAAAGCTAATCAAGAGCAGGGAAGGATTGTGGTAATAGCCAGCCTTGATGTTTTTCCACCCAGACTTTGAAAGTTAGTTTATCTTGCTTTACCCATGACCTTTTAAGAGACATTTATTGTTTCACAAATAGTGCGGACTTCTGCAGACCAGGCAAATTTTAGGGGCCCAGGGTTCTGGTTTTGCTGGTGTTGTAGTGTTACACCCTCCGTGTCCAAATGCCATCACCCCACTGTTTGGTGTCTGTAGTAGGAACAGTGCACCATTAGATACACCCTGTAAGTGGTGGCTTGGCACTCTTTAACTGTGTCTTCCTGCATTGTGCTTTTTTGTAGGCGAATCACAGTTCCCCACGTCGACTGTTTCTCCATTTAACTTGTCCTCAAATGACAAAAGTCACTGGTGAGCCAGAGCTGGTGCTGCTTGTGACTTCCAATCACATTTCAGCCTTCATGTTATGATGGTGCTTTTTTCCCCTTCAAAGTAGGTTGCTTTCAAGTGTCTTAATGAAACCATTTGCTGTAAAATTTCTTCTGAAGATAAAATGGATACTGCCTCACTGCCTAGTGTCTTAATAATGTGCTTGGTTTCTTTCCTCCTATATGAATGTATATTGCCTCATTAGGGCAGGAAGCGTGTGTGATTATGGATGTGTTTTCCTGTATTCCTTTCAGTGAAAAATTCTAGTTACCTAGGACTTTTTTTTTTTGCCACTACCAGGAGGTTCCTGCAGCAAAAATCTGTTTGCAGACAGGTGAGGTTCTTTGTGAAATGTGGGAATTTAGCCTCCCAAGATCTTGTCTTTATGGAATGCCTGTACTGATAATGTAAAGAGTGATAGGCTCTGGAAGAAAGTGGAATGTATTTTTTTTTTAAAACCTGAGCATTAGGAAGAAATTTTGTGAAACATTTGTGAGCTTTTTTGAAGAGACTGATGTGTGTATGTTTATGTCCATTTTGCATCATGTTCAGTGTTTCCAAATGGGTATCAAATGAATCAAAATAAATTAATGGAAATGATCTGTGGAGTGGCCTGTTGATTTATGCCGACACATGCAGGCAAGCTGAATGATCAAAAGCTGCCACTATCTCATGGCCATTCAGCTGAGAGCTGGACTTGGCAATAAGGGAGCAAAAGGCAAGGAAAATTTGGGAAACATACGTTCTTCCAGTTCTGCAAAGGTTGACCTCTGGGTTTGTTGGTAGTGAGATGAGTGACCTGCTGGCAGTTCTCAGCATCCTAGAGACATTCCCTCATGGTAGCAACTCATCCTACAAGCAATGCATTATCAGTATCTGAGCAGGTTCCTGGCCTTTTTATCCTGTGTCTTGCTTTCCCCCTGACACCTGCCCACATAATACACTCTGAACCCCAAAAAGGAACAACCTCTTGCTTTAAACTCTTTTCTAGGCCATATTTGGAAGTAGGATATTCTCCTTGTAGATAGTGGGAAGAGATGTAACCTTTAATTCTGTTGGTATCTTGGGACTGCTGCTGAAAGTCAAGATGACTTTTAATGAGTAGATTCACAGGTGCCTTTGATTGTTCCAGAGCTCTCCTTTGATTTGCCTGGATGGTACTTCTGTCTGCTGTTCAGCTGTTTGTTTGAAGATAACTCTGCACGGCTGACAACAACCCTTCCAGCAGGGTTTTAGTTGGATGAGACTGGTGTTTGCAGAAGGTTGTCAGACTAGGACACCCAAGCGTGACCAGCTTTGTTAACTCCAGTGCTGTTGATAGGGACACAAGAAATTTCTGTCTCTCCCTAGCTTTTACTTTTTCCCCTGTTGTGGCTTGCTGTGCTGGCCCTGCAGAGCAGGGCCATGCCTGGAGTTACAGCTCCTGTGCTGGGAAGGCCAAGGTCCACTGTTGGGGCAGGTGCCTGTAATGGATAACAGGCCTGCAAATATCTGGGCTGTGGATCACACTGCAGTGGTCCATGGACTCCTCCCAGGCTAACTTGTTCTTCCCTGCCTGGGGGGAGGAGAGAAAGTTGTTTAATATTTGAGGCACCCTTTCAGATCCAGTTTGTGCAGGGCCTGGGGGATTTGGAAGTGACCGATGTACAGATTTGATGAGAAGATGGTATTTCTGTGGTTCAGGTTTTTGGGAAACTGTAAAAACGCTGTAGGGGCAGGGGTGTCAGTAGAGGATGGGGAGTTTGCAATCACTTCATGGTTCTGTATTTGCTATTGTACTGCAGTAAAAGTCCTCCCCCCCACCCCTGTGCAGGAGAACGAAAGCCTGGCTGTGCAGCCACCTCCCTCTCTTTCTAAGAAAAGCAAGGAGCTGACAGGCAGGAGTGTGCCTGAGCTGTGAGTGTGGGCGGATGACCAGCATTAAGGCACTGACATCTGCATCTAGCCAAGTGTTGGAGCAGGAGGAATGCTCTGGCACAGCTGCAGGCTGAAGCTGTTTCCTTGGTCTGACGAGCTCTCTCATGTGACCCTCCTGTGGGAGCCTCAATTTGCCAAACACCAACGTTGTGCCAGGGATTTTAGGGGTATCCTGTGCATCATCTGGCACGGCCTTGCTTCTGCCAAGGAGGTATTGAGTTGTTTCAGCCAAGTGTGCATCAATAGGGAAGTCAAGGGGCTTCTCATGTCCCTTTTGATTTAGACCATGTTCAGTATGAATTTACCTGATCTCTGAACATCTTCCCTATCCCTCAGCTGGATCTAGCTGAGGCTTCAGCTCCATGCTTGCACTGGCAGTAGGCCAGGGCTGTCAAAGCACAACTCCTGCATCTTCTTTTGGCTTTTTGCTGCTGCAACTGTCCAACCAAAGAGCATCTTGTCAGGAGAATCTTTCAAAGCTACTAGGAATAGAAGGAAACCCTGGAAGGTGAGAGTATAGGAAGCAGTTTCCAAAGCATTGACTGTACTTCAAGTTCTTTGGAGGCAACAAAGCCCCACATAAGCAGCATTATTTTCATGGATGGTGAGTGGGCACTGAGATGAGTGGGAGCTGTGGGCTTTGAGGACAAAATGTGCATTGCTGGGGAAAGAATTGGCAGTTTAGTAAACTGGATGCACGTCTGAGTAGCCAGTGGTTTGGGGCACCTTTTTAGCTATGCAAGATGTAAATTCAGTACATGCCCAGCCTGTTACTAGGGTCAATTCCAGGCTGCATGTGGGCACATCCACTCTACTGCTGCAAACTCCTGTTCCTCCCCTTACAGCTGCAGCAGGTCCTGTCTCTGGCTGGCTGGAATGCTGCCTTCTCTGCAGATGGAGATGCTTTCTCTCTCTCACCTTTTGTCCTCTGGGTCACTATTGTCCTTACACTGTAAATCCAAGTGGAGGGTGGGCCAGAGGCCTTCCTTGCTGTCTTCATTGTCAAGCCCTGGTAGAGAGGAAAATTCCAGCAGAAAAATGGGAGTAAAAGAGCTGGTCCAGGAGTTCCAGGAGCTCGTTGGGCACTACATGGCAGAAACTTCCAAGAGGAAAGAATGTCCTAAGAGCAAGTGGATTGCTGTTAGCACCATGCGTGGCTGCTGGCTGCACTGGGACATTACTTCGGGAGCTCTGCTCCTCCCTGCCTGTTCGGCTCTGTCCTCTGCAAAAAACGCTCCCTGCTCTTCCCTGTTATCCAGCCTCTCCCAGCCTGTGCTTCCTTTCACAATCTGCCTCTTAATGCGGCCAGATGGTCTGCGCTCACCCATGCTCCATGCAGGCACCTTCAGCTCCCTGCACTTGGAGAACGCGCTCGTCTGACCTGCTGCTGGGCAGGTCTGCACTGTGCCTGTGGGAGATGGGAAATGTTGCAGAGGATGGCTTTGGGAGGTACCTGTGAGTGACAGCTGTCTTCAGACCTGCACCGACAGCCTGCCTTTGTGGGTAGGGTCCTTTTTCTGGCCCCATCCCTGTGTCCACATGGACAAATTCCT